AAATACTACAAATGCATAGTGACAAATTTGCACAGCAGCTTAATGAAATAGGCTCCCTGGTCTACTCGTTTTGCATTAGAGCATAAGCGCGGGGATAAAAACGACTCGGCACATTAGTCGCACGAGGATACCTACCCCCGGTTGTACACAATTACAAACAATTCTAAAACGAACGACAAATACAGAAATTCAAATTCAAATAAAATCACCTCTGTGCTTATTCGTAGGTAATCCCCCGATTGCGGTCATAAGTTAACGACCCACGTAAAAATATTTAATTTCGGTGTTTGGTCATTTAGCTGCAGCCATAACGCGTTATGTGAGTTATTTTCGCTCATTGAGCGTTTTCGACGTTTGTGTGTAACATATACATATTTAATGTTTTATGTGCGTTTATTGGTTATAGCTTTTTGACTCGGCAAGATGTAAACAGACACTAGACTATAAGGGATTTTTTACCAAACTTTTAGATCAATGGTCCTCTACAGACAAAAGTTCGCTACAAATTCAAGTGTTTGTTCATATTCGAATTTACATGTCGCAAGAAGTGGTTTTATGTATAACACGGGTTCATAAACTATATTGTAATAATTGTAGTTTAAACTAAACGCCTCCAGATACTTCGCCTGCGGTTCGTCCAATAGTTGGTATTGTAACCAAGCTTTGAATATTTATATTCAAAGAACCAAGGGACAAGGATGCTAAGTAATCGCCAACGTGCTCTATAGCATAATCTTCTTAAAGTACGGTTCAGGAGATTCCCGCTTGCAGTATTTACTCCAGATGGTGATGACGGAGACCAGTGGTGTTCCCATAGGGGGGTACACTCCATATACGCGCGTATACTCTAAAGTCTAAAGGATTTGTTAGACATAATTATAGCGTATATATTCTCAATCTAGGCGTATGTTATCCGCGAACACGTTTTTTTACCAATTTAGAGCGCTGAAACTGCGTTTTGAGTATCAATTTTTTATAAATTTGTCAGGGGATGCCCCCCCCCTCGCGTTTTAAACAGAACATCACAACCACCCGCTCAATTAAGTAGTTTTGAAGCACTAGAGGAACCCAATCAAACAAAATCTCGTTGATGTCGGTCTGTCGGTCCGTCTGTACTCTCATACACATATTCTAAGACATAAACGAAAGAGGTGAAAAGCTTTTGGGCAGAATGCGCAGGTGCATGTGCGAGTGGTATCTGTGCTAGCAACAGCAAATTTTTTTATATCTGAGTTTTCAGCAGCGTGAAGTCATACAACTTTTTTATCAAATAACAACGCAACATTTTAATATAATTATTCGAAAGACTTTCTTTTTCTGTGCACAATTTACAAAAATTATGCTAGGTTTTATTACAAAAAATGATCATCATATAGGGGGGCCTATTTAATAATGCTACTCGTTATTTCCATGTTGCAAATCCATCAAATCATCAAGTGCTAAATTTCGTCGATATGAGAACTTTTATCACAACGTGTGCAATCATTTGTGTAATGTGTTATGATTACTAGGAAAAAATGTAAGAATTTATAGTCTAAGAGTTCGTACGGAAAAAAGTGACTTATCGCTACTTGACTGACTTTTTGTGTAAAGTACCTGATCCATAGTGAAGTATAAAAAGTCATGTCTGCCAGCGAGATCCCGTGGCTTAAGGTTGGGAGGGGCGGTCAAATAGGTCAAATTTTCATAACTGCCGGTCTTCCAACTATATTTACCTCTGGCGCCTTTATTTTGAATCTGACGTAAAAAGTCGATAAGACTTTTTTGTACAGCTCGTCAAGGTGCATCTTTTTTTATATTTAGCATTTTTCTCTATGAGGCTTACTTTCTGAAAAAAGTGCAAATTTAGAAAAATTATAAAATGAATAGTTTGACTGTTCAATTTAAAATTTCTCAAAAACTAAGAAACTCACAAAAAAATTGTTATAGACTTTTTTGCAGAGTTTCTTGTGCCACATTAGCCAGTCTAAGCGAAAAAAATGACATTCTTTTAAGTTGTTATGGCCCATTTAAACTTTTAACACCATCAAAAACCCAGAAGATGGTAACGGACCGAAACCAAAATAGATCGACTTCCTATTCAATCTTATAAACATTCCCAATTTCATCAAAATCGGTTCAGGTTTTTTTTATCGTCTTCACAAGAAACGAACCACATTCATTCAGTTTAAAAGGGCCATAACAAAATTTTTTTTGTAATCATTTTTAAACACACTGGCCAATGTGGCATACAAAACTCTATAAAAAAGTCCATTACAGTTTTTTTGTGAGTTTTTTAGTTTTTGAGTAATTCTAAATTGAAAAGTTAAACTTTTTATTTTATAATTTTTTTTAATTTGCACTTTTCTCGAAAGGTAAGCACCATAGCGAAAAATGTTAAATACAAAAAAGATGTACTTTGATAAACTGCACAAAAAAGTTTCATCAATTTTTTGCGTCGGATTCAAAATAAACGCGCCAGAGGTAAATATTAATATAGTCGGAAAAACGGTAGTTTTATTAAAATTTGACTTATTAGACCACCCACCCCAACTTTAAACCACGGGATCTCCCTGACAGACATAACTTTTTCTACTTCACTATGTATCAGCATACTTTACACAAAAAGTCAGTCATGTAGCGATAAGTCACTTTTTTCCGTAGCCAGCTCTCCGTCAATTAGAAAATAGTATTTTTGTAGGCGTTAGTTTCCAAACGTTAAAATTTATTTATTGTGTAGAAACCATCCTTTCCACCACATAATTGTTTTTTACTTGATTGTTGTTAAGCGTTGCATGGAATGAATGCAACTCTTCACTAGGTGGCACCAGGTCTTATTGGATACATGGGTGCACTTCGCAAGTCAGTTTTGAAGCAAATTCTCTTGATGAGGGATTCCCAAAGTGGTCGATATCGATCCCTGGGGGTCGAAATCGGTGACCAACATAAACGAAAACTGATTTTGAGGATCGACGAGCTATTAAAACCGACCCCTATTAATTAACACAAGTTCTTATTTGATTGAATTGATGTCTATTTACTTTGTGCCCGATGTATCATTTGATACCAACCAACAATAGAACAGCCCGACGAACAGCCTATTTGAATTATGGTTCCAAGATGTCCGTCCTTTTGTTCGCCCATTCGTCTGTGTACGCTATAATTCTTAGTTAAGATCCAATCAGATACTTTTTATACCTTTTAATCTTGATCCGTGCGCCCATCTCTCCGTCTCTGTGCGCTATAACTTTTTGGCCGATCGTGCACCTGTACTTTGGACATTAAGTAGGGCGCTAGTGATTTTCATAAAGCCGTCTCAACAGGAACAAAAGTTCGAGTCAATCGGTAACAGGAAAAACTGTGACCTCAATATAATAGAAATCAACATAGTGCATACTCTAGATCATGTATCGAGTTCTGACTTTCGCTAGATAATTCCCTATGATTATTAGACATGATTTTGATTGATTCAATGTCCACCCTTCTGTCCGTACGACACTGCAATACGCCTTAAAATGGTTCTATCATTCCAAATTTGATGTTCTTTTTAGCCCATATGGATCGAAGTTGCAAGGTTAAAATAAATGGTCGTTCAAAAAGTGATGGGAATACTGACATCCTTTAATATTCCGTTGTATCGGTTTATTTTGTTAAATTTTGATGAGAAAATGATATCAAGTTCACCGCGGTCCAAAATAGTTTGGGAATCTCCGCTCTAGATCGTCAATTTGCGTGTTTGGAATGGAGATTTCTATTAATAGTTTGATTTTAATGAGACTCCGATAACACGTTTAGTACTAAACTCTTAATAGGCAGATAGATAATAGACAAAATAGTAATAATTTACAATGTTAATTTTACGTAGTTCCAAATTGCCATAATAATGGATCTATTTCCCCAATTAATATCCTAATGCAAAGTTGGCAAAAGGAGACATCTCCTACTTTAAGGACCAGTGACTGTAAGCTTATGTAAATGTTTGGTGGTATCGTCGGCGTTATAGAATCATTATAGTATTTCCCTTGAGCCTCATTTTGAGTCTCTTCCAAATCTTACATGATAACTGTTGCATTTTAGGTTCTATTTTTCAAAACCTAATTCGTACAGAAAAGAAATGTGCTTGTTTTCTGTTCTGTTCAGTTTTGTACAATTAAAAAAGTGGTTTGGGCCCAGTTTTTCAAAATTGGCAGGGATTTTCGACTCATCTTCAATTCTGAATACGCTCTCTCGCCCTGAACACGATTCCAAAAAATGTACCTATTCGATCTTTATAGGTACGAATTTAAACCAAACTCCCTGTAAAACACAATAATTTCGTATGCATATGCAATGGCATATTTTTGGTTACACCTCATTCGCACGGATTCTCATTGCCATACGACCACAAATGATCTGCTTATACCTACGATTTACGAATAAATTAATGTACCTTTTCTTTTTATTACACTCTTTTACAAGTCACCGTACGTTATAAAACATATTATATAGATCAAATTATCGATCTTCAAAAAATACATTGTACACTAATTGTCTCTTATATAACTTCAATTAACATAATTTTTTTGAGCTAGTGAATTGGGATAACAATACAGTAAACTGTTTCAAGTTAAGCCTTGTAGGAAAATTATGTTTACATAGGCAATTGTTCGCGCTTGCCTTGAGGTAGACTTTAATCATAATAAGTTTCATTACATAACCATGAATCACTTTAAAGCGATTTTTTAACTCAAAGTGTAACCAATCCCAAATAATTAAATCAAAGCTCATTTGCCATGCCACTACCATCCACTATAGCTATATGATATTGGACTACCTAATTCAGATTAATGTGCGTTGGCAAATTCATAAATTTTTTTACAGATTTGCTAACATCCTTTCGAAGTAGATTAATTCGATATATGTTTAATTGATCTATTTACATAATTTCTCATAATTACGAAGGATACTGAGATCATGAGTAGTTGCAAATTCACATAACGAGCACGGAAAGTTGTAATATTAATTAATTGAATTGAACTTACCGCTTCTACTTGGGTTGCCTGGTTGACATTAGTTTCAAAATTCCATTGAGCGGCGACGTTGTTTGTGCATTGTTGAGACGCTTGGATGTCTAACCCTTGCAGCAAAGCTCGAATGTCACCATGGTACGGCAAACTTTGTCTCTGTTGGTAATCGTTTTCAATTGGATTTTGATTCCTAGTCGGGTAGTTGTTGTCTACGGGATTGCGGCCGTATTGTAAGTCTCTCTCATATGGCGGATCTCTGTCATACGTCCTCTGATAAGGATCATTACTGTAGCTACCCCTATCGCTTTCAGGATTTGTTTGGTACTGATTATTGCCATAATGTCGCGCTAAATTATGAGCTGGTATGTCCAGCTGAGGATCGGTATAGGCACAGATAATAACATTAATAAAAACTAAATAGGTAATTTTTTGACACATTATTTTACCCTTCGCGTGACTAAAAAACGATGTCGCAATGATGACACTTAGAAGTACTTAGTTCTACCTGTATAATATGACTGACGATAACATCGGTAACGTCTGGGAATACAGGTGAAAATAAGTGGGAGGATCCCTTGTATTTGTTTACCTTGTCCTATACGTATTGTCGCTTTCACGTTGTTCAATTGTTCACCAAGAGAAAAATGTTAATTTAATTAAACTATGAGAAAAACGATTAAAAACAGGAAGCATATAATCTCCATATTATTAGTTCCATTTTAAAGGTACCTACCTACTTTTAATGGTTTACAACTAAATGAGGTATTATAATAGTGCAAGTGACTTATGCCTTCGCATAACTCATACTTAATTGCTAATTGCAATGATTCCATCATATTCGTAATCAGCTACAGCTTCATTTCAGTTCTAATGATTACTCTCCTAAACATGTATACGGGCAAGAAATGTTCTTAATGTCCTTTCGATTTGTACGCACCGTATGCCCTCTCAACCTACCGTAAATTACACACGGTATACAATTAACATCGCATGTTCTCTTTGGGTAACTAAAACATTCATTTTTTAATATTTTCCAGGCAGTTCGAAACGAATTTAAATATGAAAATTGGTAATTATGTCATTCTCGGACTCCCTTTAAAGATGAGATCAAAGTTGCAAATTCCCCACTACTGAAGGCGCCAGACAACAGAAACACCACAATTGTCATGAACACTAAAGAAGAAAATTCCCAAAATTGATATTGATACAACGTACTAAAAATTGGTAAAACAGGTACTCCGACACCACTCAAAGCATGCATGAAATATGAGACCAACTAGTTGGCTCATGTAAATGTTATACACGTTTAATTTTCAAAAAACAGCATCTCAGGAAATAATTCAGGAAGGCTTCTTTGGACACCAAAATTTTATGGCCGTCTGGCATACCTTCAAGGTATAGGCTACCTATTGAATTTGAGAACCCCTAATAGTAGTTAACAAGTTAAAAAAGTAATCGTAAACGATTTACAAGAAGCGTATTTCCACTTGTATTCATTTCCTATTTGTAAGATGCAACTTCTGTTAAAATCGTAAAAATCCGGCCACAAATAAGAAAGATAGCGTTGTATATGCGCAATCCATTTTTGAGGTGCTACTTCAGTTTCAGTTCATAAGAATCATCCTACAATTTTAGAAGAATTAGTTTTACAAATAACGAATGTGGGTCTGGGCATACGCTGTTTTGCGTATTTTTAGTCGGAACGGATTGCGCATGCATAAAACAAATTTGTTTGATTTGGCATTCGATTTACCTTCATTCGAAGTGCCTACATACAACATTCCATTTAAATACCTTAACAATTGAAAAAATTGGATTGCGTATTTTTTAAATAAGCATCCATTTTACTTTTAACTAAGAACATGTGTACCAAATTTCAAAGCAATCGGACATTTCTAAACAAAGTTATCGTTCACACGGACAGCTAGATGGGCAGACAGACAAAGGAACAGACGGACATACCAACAGACGATCTCTCTAGGATCGTTAATAAACGGCAAAAATGTAAAATTATGGAACATGTAAAAAATGGTTTTTTGGTTTTTTTACGATAACTTTTTTAGCAATAAACGCAAAAAAATTCCTTGACGGACGGGCAGACAGACGGACGAACAGACGGGCGGACAAAGTGCCTACAATAGCGCGTTTTTTTTATTTTTGTGGTAATGCGCTAAAAACCGAAGAAGTAGCTCAACACGCAAAACGCAAACAATAACACATTTTTTTTATTCTTAAATAAATGGGCTAAAACGAACAGATTAGTTAGACTACTATCAAGTAGGCATAGTTAATTCTATAGCTGATCATAGGTCATTTTCATCGTTGGTACAATGTAAAATTTTCATATGGTTGGTTTCTGATCCTGTTTTTAGCGATGGAAGATTCTATATTACCAACTAATTTATTAGAAAACAATTAGTGTCTCGTCTAGTTAGCTTTAGCTTTTTAATGGCGGTCACGAAAGGACCGTTCTATAAATGTTTATTGTTTTTTGCGTTATTTAATGCAGGTAGTAATCATGGCATTTCTTTATATAATGTGTCTTGTATGCAGCATTTTATACTTATTGTGATTTCATTCTTTGATTTTAAAGTTGACTGGATTTATCATTAATGCAGACTCATGTGTTTGAGACCGTTAACCTTTTGTTTGAAATCGCGTTCATTTTTGGTGAAATATTTGCTAAATGTTTGTTTATGTCTCGATTACCTGGTCCTGGCCCCAGTTTAGATGTATATGTCATTCTTTTAAATATGTGGACATTATCGAATTGTTTGATGATGATAGAAATTTATCTATTAACTAATTCGAGCTAATCACGAGAATGATTAATGAAGGGAACATCTAAAATAACAGCACATCATTCCTGCGTTTTTTGCCACACCGTGTATTGTGGGTTACATACTGTGTCGACAACACCTTAGATACCTACGTCAAGCCGCAAGCGCAGTCTAGTTATGGCAAGTCTCTGGTGTATATGTACTGACTTGTTGTTTAAAAACATTTTCTGTCAGGAAATTTTAGTTTCCATGACAGAGGCAGAGCAGACTACGTTTCATACCCCTTGTCACTTTACTGGCCGCACCTGTCACTTTACCGATCTCACCGTCACTTTACCGGCAGCATTTTTAACATTTCTAAATGTCTATAATGACTCCTGTCATCACTGACAGATTGACATTAATCAAAAGTTATACAGTGAATTTTTTTTAATGCGAACATGGGAGTTTGCATGCAATGTAATTTCCCTATGTTCGATTTAAAAAAAAACACATCAATCTATTGAGTAGTTCAAATGAGTAGTAGATACAATTGACAGCTGTCACATTTTTAAAAATACCGCCGTCCAATTTAATTACGAAATCGGTTAGGTTATTGCTTAGAATGTCAAGGAGGACACTTCGAACATTTATTGTAATTGGTTTCGTTATTTACTTTCTTATTTTCTTCATTTATGTATTGAATAGATCAAATTAGTACAATACCAGGTGCACATGACCTACAAATAATTGAAGGTTGGTTCACAATGAGTGGTAGTGTCAGTGCGTGGCCTGTGAGGTCAAGTTATCGTAAGTTTAAGAAAAATGTATCCTAAAGTTGCTATGGCCTCACATGGCTTCTTTAAAAAAATCTTACCGAGCGCTCTTCTTCATAAAGACTATAGAGTCCTCATAGATTGATGTGTTTTTTTAAAAATCGAACAGAGGGAAATTACATTGCCTGCAAACTCCTAAGTTCGCAATTTAAAAAACTCACTGTATATAAAATTTGAAATTTTGTATTAAAAGACGATTTCGGGTAAAATTTAATACAACACTCGTCAGTAAAATGTCATTACCTGACTCGGAAATTAAAGCACTCGGTTCCAAAGGGGCCTCACACTTAAATATTTTCTCGCCAGTAATGTATCATTTTCCTGACTTTTATGTAAATAACTATTGGTGCAGTGATTCGAATCATCGAATCATAAATCCATGTTTTGCTATACTCAAGGCAACCTACTATAACACTTCAGGAAGTTATATTTGCCCTACTGCCAAAAATAAACTATTGCAAAATTTGTTTACCGTTTTATGAAAAAGTATGTTAAACATTACACCAACGATTGAGCCATATCTTGTTGGAGACTAGCGTATTATGTTGGTTTTACCTAACATTGATAAATAAAAGATAAATTAATGCCAGCATACGATATGACAGTATCACTTAGTTAAAAATGCTCCTAATAATATATTTTGATTTAGTCTACCATCCTAATAACTTCTGACACGCTGGAGATCATAGTCAACGGACGGTAGGTAAGTAATATGTTTAATGTATAAAACTGATTTGGTACCCATTATACAGTATACTTCTAGTTAGAATTGGGGAGGTTTCTTTTCGGTGCATGACAGCGGTGTGGATTTAATGTACGAGTAGGGATATAATAAAACATTTTATTCCTCACGCACGTTTTGACAATAAAGCTTTCATCATCAGCATACTTCGCCGCCGAAATGCGTAATAGTGCAGCGGAGAGCCGGCGCTAACTCGCTTATTTGAGGTAGTTTTTTTTTCGGAGTAGAAAGAATTGGGACCCACACCATTTTGTTCAAAAATGTTTGAACCTTCAGAATCTCGCTTTACGACATTTTCCCGTGGTCCTGACAAAAGTTAAAGGCCGCTAAAGTTGAACTTTACTCATTTTCGCGCGCGCGACTTGACCACCGAAAGTATTTATTTTCTCAGCTACTAAGCGATATACATCAATAATTCCTTTTGTAAATGAAAGTACATTTATAGCAGAATCTAAAGCATTCATATTTACCTACCTTGTTATGCACAGTTTTTAGAAAAATAACCGTCAACTTCGAAAATTCGTGTAGCGGATGAAAAGTGCGCACTTTGAACCATCATAACTTTTTATTTTACGATATCGATTTCCAATATTCATAGCTCATTCGATGCTCCAAAGCATAGTGATTTCGGTTAACTTTCGGGTTGGTCTAGACGCGCGCTCAAATGAGTAAAGTTCAACTTTAGCGGCCTATACTTTTTGTCAGGACCATGGGAAAATGGTCGTAAAGCGAGATTTCTGAAGGTTCAAAACATTTCCTGAACAAAATGGTGTGGGTCCCGAATTCTTTCTACTCCGAAATTAGTATATTGAAAGACAGTGTTACAATGCGACCTATTGTAATACGACTATCTTGTGGCACGAGTGGCGACGCGAAGCGTAGCCACGAGTGTCCGCAAGATAGGAGTATTACAATAAAGCATTATGTAACACGCGTTTTTCATACTATTTTTTCTATTTCGGTGCTTTAATTTAATTAAAAAAATCATTATCAGAAACTATAGGGAACATTAGAACTAACATGTTTTATGTTGGGAACACTTTTTATGCCGTTAAGTTTTAGGTTGGCAGCGTAGTAAGGGTGACATTTTGAAGTTCAAACATGGAAGTACCCAACGAAGTACCTACTTGTACTAAATAGTAACTGCCAACTTAAGAGATGAGTTACCAAAAAAAACGACTATAATCACTGT